CCTGCGCGCACAAGTTCCACGGAGCCTAGCAAACTTCGCGTGAGTCTATTCAGAGCTCTTTTCTTCGAGTACTTTCTTCGGTTGGCGCAACGGGCTCGCGGTTTACAGCCTCCAACCGGACGGGCTAGAAGAGTGTTCACGGGAAGGAACTCTAGTCCACCTCTCATCTTTTCTATCTGTAACCGCAACTCAAGCAAGTTTTCCAGCCTACACTGCGACCATCTTTGGTGTAAGTAAATAATCTTTAAATAAACCATTACGCGTCCGTGCCTAATTCTAGCATGTCGCCCGTTCTCTCCGACCCCGCGTGCCTGGGCTGCTGGCCACAGCCCGTGCAGAGCACAAAAAGGGCTCGGATCGCTCCCGGCCCGCACACTCTGAACCCTCTCAATGCTGTCCACATCCCTCCTGAAGTGCGGCGCCCAGAACTGGACGCAGTACTCCATCTGCGGCCTGACCAGTGTTGCATAAAGGGGGAGGATCACCTCCTTGGACCCGCTCGTGATGCATCTGTGGATGCATGACAAGGTGCGGTTAGCCTTCCAGACTGCGTCCCGACATTGGCAACCCATGTTCATCTTGGAGTCTATAATGACTCCAAGATCCTTTTTTGCCTCTGTGCTGATGAGAAGGGAGTTCCCCAGCCTGTGGATATGCTGCTGGTTCTCTCCCCCTAGGTGCAGTACTCTGCACTTGTTAGTATTGAATCCCATTTTATTCTCATCCGCCCACCCCTGTAACCTGTCCAGATCCAATTGCAGCCTGTCCCCTCCCTCCTAGCATGCCCAATTCTCCCCACATCTTAGTGTTATCTGTGATTAATTCTACTGCACATTAGTGTCTCATGTAGATATGCCCAATGCTGTTAAATAGGTGATGACCCCAAAAGCCTGCTTAAACTGTGTTAGAATGCCTGAAGAATGTTTACCGCAAAGGCTTGTCTAACTCTATCCCACCTATTTAGTTGATCCTAAGAAATCCTTGCCTCTCTAATTATAGGCTGATTTCACGTACCGGGAGGGTCACCAATGTATCAGTCCTAAATTTTAAAAAGCAAAGCAGAATATTTTAAAATTAAAAAGTTGCTCGACTTTTTTTTGTTATTGAGTTTCAGTGTGGTTTTCATATCCTTGCTAATTAGGTTTTGGACTTTTTGGGCACATCCTAATGAGCACAGCCGTGCAGTACGCAGCACCGCAAACACGTTTGCAGTGCCATGTACCGCACAGTCAGGTGTTCTCCACATTGCAAGGGCATGCTGCCCATGCACGTGCTGCTCTGGGGGTTTTTCTGTGGGTTTTTTTGGCCCCCGGATATCCAGGGGAGAAAAAACAAGAACAACAACAACACGCTGAAAACCCCCCCAGAGCAGTGCACGCACAGGCAGAACGCACTGCTGAAATGCGGAGCCGGGCTTTCCGGAGCTGCACTGCGACTTCCAGCCAGGTTCTGCCCGGCAGGATCGGCACTGCTGCAGCCCCAGGAGACGCACTGAACCCCAGCCAAGGCTGCTGGGGCCAGCACAGTGTTGGTCCCAGCCTCCCTTACTGCCCCTGGAGTGACTTGCCACGGCCAAAGCACATGTGGCGCAGGTGTTCCCTGGGGACAAGTTGCTGTGGTGCAAGGTGCACTGCTGCTATTTGTCCCCGGGGATCCAAACATCCATGCTCATCTCGACATGGCCTTTGATGCTGCAGTGCTGTGGTTAGCTAAAAGCAATAGGAACTCCAGGCAACAAAAGGGCCTGGTCAGTGCACTCACTTTTAGCCCTAATGAATGTGTGGTAAATTCTAGTCCCTATAGCAAGATTCAGTAAGCAGGTATTGTATAAAGTGAAGATTGTCAGACAGGAATCATGGCAGATCCAGGGGATGAAATCCTCCTTGGCAATGTGTTAGCTCTTCCCTGCCCCATACCAGGATACTAGGCTCCACTGTTTGGGAAATTCTTTATCCACAGACTGGTTGATGGATCCATATCTGTGAAGACCCAATGACCTGTTCTATCACTTTCCCCAGTGCTGCCCCCTCCAATAGACTTCTGTTGGAGTGAAGAGCAGCACCAAACAATATATAGCGTATATTCCTTGTATCCTGTCTAGCTCACAAACTCAGGCCATAGGGGACCGGATTTGTACTTAGTCTGGATTTAACAGTAAGGAAGAAATATTTCAAAACTGTAAAACCAAACAATACAGGGCTAAAATCTGAACTTTAGAAAAATAAAACTCATACACATAGCATGAATATCAACGTGTTTTTGTGCAGAAAAATAAGACTAAAACAACAGGAAGTATGAGGTGGCATATTTATCACTTCAACTAGCTTAACAACATTACAAAATTAGTATGCAGAATGTATTCCAAGTACCTTAGCAAATTCTTGTTTTAAAGAAAAACAGCATCACTTGATTTAAACTATTTCATTTACTGCAGTTTTCTAAATGGTTCCACTGAGTTTTCATCAGTAACTGGTAGATGATAGTGTACATGTAATTTACAGTATTAAAACAACTTAACTAAAAATAGGAAGAAATGCTGTCACTTTCATTTGGCTTAGATGCACATTATTGATGTTACACTCAAGGGAATGAGTCTATAAAACCCCCTTCTTGAAACATGGTACTTCAGTTTTCCTCAATTACTAATTATACTTGACGAGAAAAGGAAACATTTACCTATTCAAATAGTCCTACTACTGCCTATTGTTTAGAAATTAAGTTTTTCCATTAGCAGATTGCACATCATAAACTCCCTCCCCTTTTTGCAATTATAGAAGGATGCACTTTTTCCTTTCCATTTTTTTAAAAGAAGCAAAGGTAAAAAAAAGCAGCACAAGATTTAAAACTGCTAATTGTCAGCAAACTTACTGCTTGGACATATGCTAGGAAGTGAAATCATGAAGAACCACACACCATGAATACAAACAATGTCCCCTCCATAAAGCTGTTCTTAGGGTGCCAAGGATATTTGCATAAGGAAATTTATAATAGCTCTTAAGAGATTTTAGAGCCAGAGTATAAAGTATCAAGAGGCATTTCTGGAAATGCATATACAGTGGGTTAGGACACACTTTTCATTTCAATCGTAAGAGTCCCAGAAACTTTCAAATAAAAGAAAAAATGAGTCTAATGGCCCCAAACATATAAACTTTTACAACACATAGAACTCACACTAACCATACTATCACTCTGTTGGTTATAAATCTAATTGTAATTTTATCATTTCCTTTTTCCTTTTTCATTAAGTATTTTTGAACTTCTGTTTAAAGAAAACTCTTTAGAATTGTTAAAAATAGTTTTTTATATTGGGACATAACTGTACCAATCACTGTACTTAAGTCCAATGGAGAAAAAAATCAAAAGGATATTCAATCATTCATTATTCTACAGTCATTATTCCTAAAATGAGTATGACTCACATGTAGGTGGGTCCTGGTCACTTAGGCTGGGGAACTGAGCACAGCCAGAGGTGTTGCTAGTCCTTGTATGCTGCTGGCTACAGATGCTGGCATGCCTGAACTATTCTAACCCAATTCTCCACTAAGCTGGTACACTTACAAACTCTTTCCAAAGCTTTCTTGAAAGGGTCTGAAGCATTGGGGCTTCAGGGACTGGATATGCTGAAAACAGCAAAATTACTCAAGACAGTACTCACACATCAGCCAACTCCAGCTGAACTGCAGGTTCTTCAACTGATTTAGCAGCGACTACTTAAAGCCCATGACAATCTTACTTTGTACTCACATCTTGCCATCTGGTCTCATCCTCTTTCAGTTGGTTGTGGACATTCTGCAGTTTTTCATGGCGAGCCTTGCTGTGAGGCTGCATGACTGCTTCATCTTCACACCTCATGTCAAACATACTCATACTCCTAAACAAAGCAGGAACAATGAGTAGAGCATTATTTTCTAGCTGTCAATTTTCAAATTTTAGAGGTAGGCCACATGAGGGGGCTAGAACAAAAATCAAAATACATCTTTTTTGCAGGTTTCCAAAAGCAACTAACTGATATCTGCATGAGTTCCATGTATCACTGCAGGGGTTTAGGTTGTAGCCGTGTTGGTCTAAGGATATAAGCAGACAAGGTTCCTTGGGTGAATTTAATATCTTTTATTAGACCAACCCAAATGGTTGGAGAATAGTTATTAAGCAAGCTTTCGGGTTCAAAAACCCTTCGTCAGGCTCAGGAAGCTGCAGCAGTTGGTGTGCGCTCTTCCTGGATGGAATGAAAAGTAAACAAGCCATGTATCACTGCAGGCACATGAGCACCACATCTCTCAATTATTCCTTGTTTTTAACATTAGACAGCAACTCCGCCTTTCCATAACTACTTGAGCAGAATCATTAGGGTAAAAAGTCCAAGAATAAAATTTCTTAAAATACTTTACTGACAGTCAATTCAAAAGGTAGAAATTTGGGAAGCTATATTCCCCAACCAATTTTGACGGGATAAATCCAATTCCTTGCACTATTGCAGAGAGCTGGATTTCAATTTATTTTAAAACAAGAGAAGTTTGAGAAGCACAGCATGGGCAGCATTGTGGGTCAGATGCTATTGTTAAGTAAGCTGTGAGAACCTGCTCTGGGAAATGCATGCAGTGAAAAGGTCATGTTACTTTGGTTTTTAATGAAGAACCTTAATGCTGTCAACACCAAGCTATTATTATCCATATTCTAACGAAGGAAAAACACACTGTATAATATTCATGTTCTGGTCTGTGACAGTACCTTTAGGCAAATTCTATTTCTATTCTTGATCTTTCAAGAATTAAAAGGAGAAAGGTCATAGATATACAGCATATTACATTTGTTTAAAGACAGTTGCATAAAGAAAGTAATGAAGTACATTATTTTTGTGGTACCTATTATCAGCAAAACATGGCCTCGGTTATGCTATTAAAAAAAAAGCCAGCCATGCAGTTTTACATGAGATAATTCCATGGCAGTATTCAAAAAGCCCAGCTTAGATGAGCCAATCAGCAGCAGTAGCACAAGATGAAAGTATAAAAGTTAAGAAGGTAGGTAACAATGTAGACAGTATTCAATTTCAATAAATGTGGTATGTTGTATGCATATGTGGGCTTAGCTCATTCAAGAGAGCAAGGGTGCAAATTAAACACACTCTCACAGAAAACTTGTAAGGTTTAATTCCATTTAAACGCCACAGAATGGATATGTACCTGGTTGCCAGCCACACTAGCAGAAGTTTTTCATAAATACATGATAACATATAACCTGTAATCTTTAAATAGGTACAGAAACCCTAAGTTATTACTATGCGTAACATAGGTTAACTTTAAAAATGCATACCAGACTGCTGAGTCAAGACACTAGCTTTGCAATTCTTTCATCCTTGCGACTCAAATGGTTTTGTTACTTTGGAATGGAGGACTATTAAAATGATCTTAAAGGATCTATAAGTTTTTGTTCTTTACTAAAAAAAAGGATGGCATGCAATAAGGGGAATTACAAATTAGAGCATTTTGAGGGTTTTGTTTTGTATTTAAATGGGAAAAAATGTCACCTCCAATGATTGACGTTAATTTCAGGTATTCTTCAACTCTTACTAACAAAGTCCTTATATAATATACATTTGTAATCCGTGGCTAATAGCTCATATAGATTTAATAGGCTCCTCAATGCAAGCAGACACAAAAAAAAATTCTTGTTCAAAAGGTATAAAAAGCATCTTGTGGTTAGCCATTTCAGTCAGTCATCCTCTTGTCCAACTGGGTGGCAAGCATATCCTGCAATGCAAATATACTTTTGGAGGAAAACATCTGAAGGAGCCTTACCCCAAAGTACTGTGCTCTGCTCTGGCTGACAGCTTCACACTTCCAACCAGGTATAAGGGGAACCATTTATTTCCCTCTATACTCTGGAACAGGGCAACAACTAGTCTAAATTCTTGGCCTGACAAAAATGCAGAACACAGGAACCGGGACAAAGGACTATTGTCCAAAGACATTTTTTCCACAACATTTATAAATGCTTATTAGCAAGGAGGTTTCCTCATAACATTTCAAGTTTAAAAACATATCAATCTCTCAAGCAAAAGATGGCTCACGTCTTCCATTTGTTAAATAAAGCTATATTAAGCCCTGGTTGCTAGACATGTGTGTGCTGGAGAGAAAATAGTGGGGTAGAGAAAGACAAATAAAAAGAAATGGAACACTGGACCATGAAAATGAAGTACATGGTGGTGGTGTTTTTTTAAATAAATTTTCCACCTCTAAAGCAATTTTGTAGGTTGAGGCCCAAACTCCTTCTGAAGTGAGGATTTCATGGATAGGCAGACCAACTCTTCTGGCATATCTGTTGTTCTTCCAGAGTTTGCCCCAGACACCAGACATTTTCTACTGATTTGGGTTCTAAGACTGACATCATTTTCAAGTAATAGTATTTTCTTGAGAGTTGTTCTAGTGAATTTTATCACAAAGTGGATGACTTTTCTATTTTTAATTCAAGGAAGTCTGAACACATAACTGAAATATGTACTCAGGTTACATCTGACTAGTAAAACAGGCTCTAAGGACTTGTGTGTTCATTTAAATGAGAATCTGGTGAATAACTACTTTTAGAGAGAGAAAAAAAAGTATCTGTTATAAAACTGGTATGCAAAATACTCATTTTGTGGCCACATTATAGTTTTATAGACACACTAAGACTTAAAAAAAAAGAAACAAACAAACATTCAAGGAGGTAACCTGCTAAGAGTCAAACTCAAGTAAACAAATACATCCCAGCTCACTGTAATTTGTCCATCAAGCTCAAGGTAAAACTAAACTCAAGATTAACATTAGGCTGTCATGCAACAGCCTGTTTTTACAGGGCAGAGGTCAAAACTGTGGCTGGATATAGCCAGCAGCATTGATGTAAATACTATAATGGGACAGAGAGGTGTCCCGGTAGCTTTCAAGGTGCTTCATAAATCTGATTGCTTTATGCCTAGACAGTTGAAATAAAAAGGCTTTCACCCCTGCTTTGAAAATATGCTGTCCTGCTCTTCACAGTTTAACAGTCTGCAAGATCAAACTGTTCTCTGTCCCCTTTCCTCTCTCTCATCAATGCAGGCAATTCCAGGATTACTACAAACCATCAGAAATCAAAAGAGGAACAAAGAAGCACATCTTCCCTAATCCCACCCTGCAACAGGCCCAACATTTCCCCAGTGGAGGTGGGGGAAATTATATATACAGAAGAAACCTGGTGAGGAAGCAAGGTTCCAGGAAGAACCTGGAGTGGGACAATGTATGGTGGAATTGACACATATTGTGTAGCTCCTCCTAAAGTAGAGCAAGATTGCATTAATATTGCCGTGTTACATTCACACCAAAAGCAATTCAGTGAGAATGATGCTGGAGCTTAGCTCAAAGAATGAGATGAAGAACTGACACAGAGTCCAGAAAATTCACAATAGGCTGAGACACTAGCCCTGGCCATGGCCCCCTGCAAAAGCTCTACAAACCCTGCCTGTCTCTCTCAAGGAGGTACACAGACAGGGCCTCCATCATCAGGAACAGATTTTCTGCCATGCAAAGGAGGTCTCCACAGAGAAGATAAGAACAAGCTGCAAGTAGTGACCTTTACAGATTTACTGGTTGTTTTCTGTGCAGGGCTTCTAGAGAACAAAAGACTAGAGGAGTATAAGGATCTCCTTTTCACCAAGATAAAGAAACTGCAGATCCTGAGGTCCAGGACAGAGAATATTCCATCTGGGGTCAACGGCAAGGAAAACTTTTGATATTCAGTGACTACTGTAAGTGGTACAGGTGATTTTCTGCCATCGGAAGCTGGAATTTTAATTCCCCCCTGGGAAGAGAAAAAGGGTCCCAAGACAGAGAAATTTAAAGGCTGCATTTTTATGTATAGAAAAGTGCTTTTAGGCTGTTTTTGGATGCATAGGGTTTTATTTCTTTTCCTTCTGAGACCTATCTTGTACTTGTTTTAAAAGACCTGTAGCTTTCAGTTGGAAGGGATATAATCAAATTTATAAGAACTTTTAAAAATAAAAATCGGCAAAAACCTGTTTCTATAAAATATGGCAGTCTCTGAATGGATGATGCTGCCATATAACATTTTTATCAGCATATATCTGAAATGGATAACATAATTCATTCATTTCATTGCTACTCCTAAGTAACGTGATCATCTTAAACCTATGTTACTAAACCTTTTTAGGACACCTGCATTTAGCCTGTCATGTACTCATGTTTAAATATGCATATAGGAGGTGTCCACATACACAAAGATCACATGCAAGCCCTTCTGGAATGGCAGAAGACTCTCCATAGTTAGGTATATGCATTTTCACCCTTCCTCCTGCATAGTCTTGAGTAGAAATTTGCTGTGGCTTCAAAATTGTCCCATTTATGGAGGTCAAAAGGAGATTTTTTTTCTACAAAGTGTAAAGGAAAAAAAAATTCACACAATTTTTCAAGTCACAGATTATTCAGAGACTACTCAATTTATAAATATGCCATTCCTCTAATGCCTTTGTGTTCACAAAGCATAAAGACATGGCAGTACTACATATTTGTTTTTAAAGCTAGGTGGTGTTTAGATCTTGATGTTACATACAGAAGAACAGTACATTTGTGTAACTGTCATGTTAATTTCTGTATACATAAAAATGTGCAGGGGGGGTTGTTTTTATTAAAAGATGGGATACTGTTTTCACTTAAACATTGAAAATGAAGGGTTTTTCTTTTGTTGCAAAACTATACAAAAGTTACATAAATTCCAACGCTTCAATTATATACCTTATTAAAATAGGTCCACCTTGAAAGAGATTTTAAAAAATGGTTTAAGATGCAACTAATAAGTAATTTAAGGCTTATTTTTTCAATTAATATTTGAGGGTAATAAATTAATTTATTTAACACTACTTTGGAATTAATTTTTTTTTTTTTTACCACTCAAACTACACAGCTCACTCCTCAATTTCCACCCCTTCCCAACGTCTAGCCTAGACCTAATTCCTTCAATACTGACTTATTAGAAATTGTGCAAACTCGTGTGTAAAAGAAAAGAGCGTACCAACTTTTTAAAGCAGCAGCTGCATATAGTATCATGCATTTTTACAAAACATGTATTTACTGAAATAGAAATGCATATTGCATTCCATCTTTAACTGTTTTATCTGAAACATTTATCAGAAGACTGAAAAATAATAATGATGCATAAATGGCATATTATATTAGTAGAGAATATGGAAAGCATGCAGTGTAAGTTGTTTAAAAGCAACCCTGTGAGCACAAGACAACTTACTCTGCGTCATCAGACACAGCAGTTCTGGGGCCGAATCTACAAGACCAAATATAAAATTAGATGGCTGGTAAAAACATGATGTATCAATTGCAATTAGAACCAAGACAATTTCCTTTGGTCCCCAACCTCTCTATTAGTAAAGTAGGCTGAAAAAAATCCCCATGTTTTTCAGGTTATATAAATCGCATATAATAATACTATGGAGAACAGTAAAAAAAAACCCCCCCAGAACTTTAACCACAAATAATTTAGAATTTAAATTATGGAGAAGAGTAAAAATGCTTTCTCCCCGCAACACAACATTTAACATGAAATTGTGCGTAGGAAGTAATTGCCAATAGAAAATAAGCAAATGAGATTTATATTACTTAGATTCACCTTGATATTAGGTGACCAAGTATGTGATTCATCTTGACAAACAAGACCCAGACAAACCCAAGAGTAACATTCCATAATACAGTGTTCAGGATCACCAATACTGACAGCAGGTAACAAGCATCAAAGTGAACAGACCATAAGACTTCCACTCTTTTATAACAAAATAGGTCATCCTAGTGTATGAGAGAGCACTTTTCACAATAATGAATACTTCTGCAACTGATACATTTGGATTGTGGGATTTATCATAAAAGAACATTCAAAACAGTCAGAATCCTTAGCAGTTTCAGCTTCTATTCATGAAAAAGCAAGAGCTACATCTCTAAAGACATCAGACATTCCAGTATCTTCCTTTTTTTTGGAACTCAAGAGAAGCTCAGCCACTGTTTTCTTAATTAAATTTCACATTTTATATTTTCTGTGGTTAAACATTTTCTTCCTTTAGCACTAGAAAAGAAAATCAGTGCGTCACTCGTAACTATTTTATTTGTTTCCAAAGTATACATACTGACATACAGTGTTTGCAATCCACACTAAAAGAAGCCAGGTAATTGCAAAACCTAAATTGCAAAGCCAAAACATTAAATTGGACATAGGGGCACTGAATAAGCTGCAGTTCACATGGTAAGGAGCTCACATTTGTAGATGTTCATCTTTGAATGAGAATGCTTCTTTGTTGTTTTTCTTGGTACCCTCCCGAAATTGTGAGGTTTGACTTGGACATACCCGAGTAAGAATACAGTCGGTCGTAGTCACATCACCTTGTCCTGTATTAGGAAGGTTGTGTTTTTCTCGTTCTTCTGTGTGTTGACATTGCATTGAAGATCTTTGAGGGTTGTTAGCACAGACTTGTGGACATTTTTCACGTTTGAATGAGCCAGCAGTGGTGCTAAGTAATTTAAATTTTAGTTTATAATTACAAAACATTGTACATACCTACAGTCATGTGCCCCATTGAATTTGGTAATGGACTAAAACAGGAGTGGGCAATTATTTCAGCTGGAAGGTCGCTTAACAACTTCTAATGAGCAGTTGAGGGCCATACGGGTAGCCCTGCCCCTTGACAGATGCCCCACCCCCTGATCACCATCTTGGGACTCGAAGTCACACCCCTAACCCCTAACCTTTGCCACCTGAAGTCCCCCCCTTGCCCCTGGGAGTATTCCTTTTGGGAGGGGGGTTGCTATCTTAGAACCAGAAAAAAACAAAATCATATACTAAAAATCAAACATCTATTATAACACATTTTAATTTTATTTCAAAAAAATATTTTTGTCCCAATTTCCCTGTGTTTGCATAGTGTATATAGTGGTAACTGCATAATAGCTCAAAACAAAGTCTTACTATTGTATATTGTGCATGGGGGGGGGGTGTCTCTGTGTGTGTGTGATTTGTGGGGGTGATGGGAGGGTTTGTGAAGGGGTGTGGATAAGTGTGGGGTTTTGAGGGGAGTTTGTGCAGGGGGTGGGAGGGTTTGTGATGGGATGTGGATGAGTGTGGGGTTTTGAGGGGAGTTTGTGAAGGGGTATGGGGGATGTGGGTGTGTGTAGAGGGTGTGGGGTTTGTGGTGGGGTCTTTGGGAGGGCGTGAATGTGGGGCTTGTGGGGAGGGAAGGTGTGAGGGTGTGTGTGGGTAGGTGTGGGCCCCCCACCACGCACACAGTCCTTGTTGCTGGCGGCAGCAGCAGGCAGTGGGCCCTCAGGGCACTCCTGGCCTGCGGCAGGCAGAGCTCCCTGGCAGCACATGGCTCTGGCTGAATCCTGGAAGCTGCACGTGGTGGCACCGAGCTGGCCTGGCCTGCTGGCACACACCTTTAAACCAGACTGGGCTAGCTCTGTGTCAGCACATGAAGCTCCCACCACTGCAGGTGGGATCCGTACGCCATTGGGTCAGCCGGACTCTGTGCCTCCATATGCGACTTTCCGCTGGAGTACTGGAAGCCCCATGTGCTGGCATGAAGCCAGATCAGTCTGGGTTGAAGGCATGTGCCAGCGGGCTGGGTGGGCTCCGTGCTGCTCTCAGGATTCAACCGCAGCCGGGTGCCATCAATGACTCTGCCTTGGGGCTAGGAGAGCCCCAAGGGCTGGCTGCCTGCTAAGCCGCCACTGGCAGGGGGGGGGC